TTGAAACACACAGCAAAAACAAAATAAGACAGGTAACAGGACTAAAATCTATCTATAGTAACACTACTGGCCCCTATGAGGCTGAATTGCTCATTACACACAGAAAACAATTTGGACACTTCAATATTCAAATAATTCTAAATAGTTTTTCAGTACAATGGTCATTTTAAATCACAGACTCAGCTTTCAACAGTCTTAAAACTAATATTAATATTCCTGTTGTGGTTACAACATTGACAGTTACGACAGTGAAATTAAAAATGAATTTTCATATCCCTGTGTTAATTAATATCTTCGTATATGTCAAATAACAGTATATGTTTTAACAAATATACTTAATAATTAAATACACAACAATTAAAATGATATTAATGTCAGTATGTCTTTGTTTGTTTCTAATTGCTTAAATTTGGTCACTGTACCTTGAAAGTTTTCACCGGAAGTCCTAGTATGCAATCAGGTCTATATTGACGATGACTTAATGGATATAATGACATTTTACATTTTTAATTTGAGGAGCTTACTGTCACTAACAAGCTACATAATAAGCTACATGATATTATATCTAAATTGATGTTGTTGACTAATTTAATGTGCTGCAGTTACTCTTTGTGGCCACTGGAGGGCAGCAAACAGAAGCTATCACCCCCCCAGGTAGAGCATACAAAGACTTCCGGTGAAGACCTTCAAAATAAAACGATTAGTGTTATGATATAAGATGCCTCACATTAACAAAAACAAGTGACCACTCAATTTATCCCTGTTGTTTTTAGAGTACAAGAAATGAGCTTGGAATACATTTTACTTACAGGGTTGTAGACTGGCTGCCCACCCATGCTCTATAATCAGATTTAAGAGATGTACAATAAAAATAAGATTACCAGAAGTAAGAAAATATAATGTATGAATAGAAATAATGTCAACTTTGTCGTGCAGTATTCTCACCGGCAGGTTTGATCCTGGGAATCCTCCCTGACAGAAGAAAAAGAAAATGGATGCCATAGTTCACTTGGTGCAATCTACTGATTTACATATTTCAAATTGGCTTAGTTTAGTTTAGTATAATAAAAACAATCAATTGTGTACAAAGAAAATAATGTTTCATACCTCCATTCCACCTCCCATGCCTCCTGGATATCCACCCTGCAAAAAAAGCACATATTTTGAATATTTAATATGATTTTTTTCTGTGATTAACTGTGAAATAACAAGACATACGTCAGTATTTTTGCATGTAATAGAAACCAAATAAATTAGAGCACTGAAGAACAGAAAGTATTTATTCACCCCCATGCAGCCTCCTGGATACCCTCCCTGTTAAAAAATAGTGAACATGTGAAATATTGTTTTATGATGTATTTAAAAATAAATAAAAATCATTGTCATGAACAAAGGCCTCTAAGTATACTTACTCCCATTCCTCCACCCATTCCTCCTCCCATTCCTCCTTTCCCATTTTCCCTCCTCCCTGAACCAACCTGGGGTATTCCTCCCGACCCACTGGGTATCCTCCCCTGGACCCCAACCTGGGGTATCCGTTCCCTGGGGATATCAGTTTAGAAAAAAAAAAAAAAAACTCAACTATATATTTTCAGTAATATTTAAAGGAAGGTATTTAAAAGACAACAACAAAAATAACTATAAACATAAACATACCCCCATGCCGCCTCCTGGATATCCTCCCTGTTGAAAAGTGGTGAATATGTTAAATCCTGTAAAGTGCTGTGCTGAATTAAACTTTTACACTTAAATTATGTATACTTACTCCCATTCCTCCTCCCATTCCTCCTCCTATTCCTCCCTAAAAAGACCAAACAGTCAGTGTCAAACTAAATATGCAACACGTCTAATTAACATAAACTACATAAAGTGCATAGAAATAAATAAATAATGGGTAATAATGAGGTAATACAGTGCTAATAATAGAATATTTCTTGGGAATATTAACAACATTTGGTAAATTAAACAGGTGTAATCTTCTCACAATGTTCAGGTTATATAAAGGTAGGAAGCTCTTGTGTGTACCTTTCTTATTTTCTACAAGTAAAACAACAACAATGGCAAAAATAAAACTACTAACACAGCTGCTGTCACTATGATATATTCACCTACAGTAACCTCTTAGCAGCCGTTAAAAACTGACCACAACAAACACCACAGCAACCATTAAAAACACCCGTAGGAGCTCTAAGACGTTGGTCTCATTGCTAAAGCTGTAAGAAATACAACATTTAAAAACATTTACCAGCCCAGCAAAACAAAGCACAAACATTTACCATTGTACTCACTCCTATTCCTCCAGGATACCTATTCACATCACCTCTACCACCCTAACATGGAAGCAGAACGCTTTGCCAATCAGTTCTTTAGAATTTATTATTTAAAACTCATTTCTGCTGAATTTCTTTGCCCCTAGCAAAAGCCCAAAGCATTAAGCTGAAAGCTTTAGGGATCAGGAAGTCTCACCCCTATGACATTAATCGTCTGGATGGAAACATCTCCTGCGATATGCATTGCACGAACTCTTTCCAAAGGCAGACGGTGATGCAAGGTGAAGAAGTCATTCCCATTGACTTTGATCTGCAACAGGGTAATGTCAAATGTTAAGCACAGTGTGCCGTGGTATATGCTGTCAGTATGGTACAATAATGAGCAATTAAGAAGAATATTATATATTATAAGAATATTATGTAGAAAAAATTGTGAAGAAGAGGTATTCACAAAATTACAAACGACACAAATGCAGCACAAATAAACAATAATAATAAACAAGGTAAAGCTCATAAAAAGAGTTTACTTTAACCCACTCTTTAGTATTTATATGCACTATATCAGCATAAATGATTTATACCACACTACAATGTAGCTGTAAGCAGGTAAAAGTGTTATTTACTTTATTTGCCAATAACTTCTCTTGCGGAAACCAATAAGTGGAGGTTGGTGTCTGAACAGATCATGAATGACAATATAGTAAAACACAGTCCTAATAATATAAAATGTGTTAATGTACATTAATAAATGCTCAAAATATCCTTATTTCTGCTTACAACTATGACAGTGTGTTATAAATCCTTTAATTAAATATTTAAATAGTGCTTGTAAATGCTAACAGAACATAGTTTTAAGTTTGTTTAAGTCTGACCTGGTAACCATGTGAAGTGACCATGATGACCATTTCAAAGGCCAGGCCTTTGCTGAACGGCATATGATGAATCTTCTCTTCTGACCCCCAGGATCCATTCTCACTAGTGTTGAAGACCACCTTGTCCCAGCTGTCAAAGCGAGGGTTGAAGTGGAGGGCAATGTCGCTGGACTCTGACTCTCCACAGAGCAGGTTGACAAAGAACCTGCCAGAAGAAAGAGCAGGTGAAGCAGAGACATTACGGAGTGACCAACTAAAAGTTAGTTAATGTTAGAAAAACAGAAGAAATGCAAACAGTAAAGGTGGGACCTGTTAGGATTGTGTGAAACAAAATCTGTCCCCACAAAGAAGCTACAGATCTCCCGGTACAGTCAGGAATGTGTAGTGTTTACTCTAAATGTTAATGGTCTGTTAAAGTACAATTGGCCACTCAGATATGACTATTTTAAAAAAGGGTAGGGAAAAGTGATAAACCTGTGTTTCAAGTCTGCAGCGACACAAACAATGCAAGTGAAACCTGCTCCACCCAGATTACACAAGCTGTTCCCTCAGTTTTGGTCCCAGTAGATCTAAAAAAATATAATACAGTCATGCTTAAAGACCTCTAATACAATATGGACTGAACAGAACCACCAGCTTTAAAATTATAAATGGTTGTTTTTCAAGATAAAGAATTAATTTTATGCTAATAATGTACATTTACAGATTTATGCTTGCTAATACTCACCTGGTAATGTCCTGAGGAACAAACCCCTGGAGGTAGATGGACGTCCCTTCCCTCAGGCCTCCATAAATGGGCCCCAGATAGGGAATTCTCTGTACAGTGCACGAAAAAAATACTCAATCCTTTACTTAAGTAAATTAAGTAGCAAATAAAGTATAATAATGAAAGTACTGCAGGAACTTTTGTGTGATATTAGCCAATTATAAATTACATTGTTAGGTTGCATTAATGCGTATGTATTTTACAGTTGTAGCTGGTTGAGGTGGAGCTAGTTTTAACTAATATATACTGAGTTTGTTTAGTCCAGTGGTTCCCAACTGAGAGTGAAGGTTCACATAAGTTTAGTGTCGTTTTTAACCTCATGATATGTTGTTTAACTCTTTGAAAGTCTGAAATGTAGTAACTATAGCTGCCAGTTAAATGTAGTGAAGTAAAAAGTACAACATTTCCCTATGAGATGTAGTTGGGTGCAAGTAAAGTACATTAAACTTGTACTTTTGACAGTTCTAAAGAAATAATGTTATATTTCACCACTGACAGTAAATCGGTGAGTGTGGTTTCAAGGGGAATTATTCATGCGACATAAAAGTTGGTGTCAGGGTGGTTTAATTTCATCGTTTACTATCCTTGGATACCTGCTGTAATTTCCTCTGAGGTTTCTTCCTTTGGATAATTGATTTTGCTTTTTTAAAAATATTAATACATAACTCAGGACTGTTTCTACATCTTTTTGGTTTGTATCTTCCCTATAGTACATACTGCCCTAACGTAGTGAGATATCTCACCAACAATAATCATATTACAAAGAGTTTCTACAGCAACCAGTGACGACTAATCAGAGTTTTAATACACCAATAAGCCCACAGTCCAGTGTAGAATCTTTATAATCACTACTGTGGACAAACACATCAGAAATGAGCCTGCACAAAAGAGGATGTATTTAAAATATTGTTTTGTTTATCAGGTGTACATGCATGCATATAACAACTATCTACTAACCATCTACTATATTATCTATTGGTCATATTGTTCTCCAGTGTGTAACAGAAAAACTATAGTTTCAAATCCCTGACACAAGACTGAACTGGAATCTTTTGTCTGTCATACTAACATATTTTTAGTGCAGCTGTCCCCACTGGCAATTAAATCTTAATCCCTTATGTGCACCGCATTACCGATCAAGCCTTACGTACAGGGACAATCATACCCCTAAAAATGAAGCAGCAGATACTTACAGGGCCATAGATTGGCTGATAGCCAGGAGGCAGCCTTACAGTCATGGCAGCAGTGAAAGAGACGGACGGACAGAATCAGGTTTCGTCAGGAACTGATCTCTGCTGGATGCCTCATTTTATACAAATGATGAGGGAGTGGCAGAGCAGGGTACCAAACCCATGTCTGCATCACCATGTTTACTTTAGAGGCACATGATGCAAATTAACCTTTGACCGAGTAGAGGAGTGGTACATTACAACAAAAGACAGAGTGTGTCTGTGTGTGTGTATGTGTGCTTATATGTGTGAGCGGCAGGTGCAAAAAAGAATACCAACATGACTGAAAACTGTAGCAGCAACAAATATCCTTTTTATACAGCGGTAGAGGAAGTATTCAGGTGTTTTACACAGTAAAAGTAGCAATGCTGCAATATAAAAACACAATCTAAATCAAGCTAAATCAAAGCATTAGTATTAAAACTACGCACAATGCAGAAAATAGTTTTACACTATTATAGAGTATTTTATTGTATAATTATTACTGATGTGTAACCTTTAATATGTACAGTGTGAGATGCATTTTACTATTGTAAACTGTAATTGCTGGGTAGCTTAATATATAACAGCTAATTTGTTACAAGATCATATGTTTTGTGTGTAAAATCTCAATTAGTAAAGTAACTAAAGGTTACAAAAAAGTATTAAAAAGTATTTAAGTATTTACTGTACAGCAGTACATGAGTAAATGTGTTCTTTACTGTTTTTACAAGTTACTTTTCACACCTGCTTTTAGATTATTTCTACAGCATTATTATGACTTTAGAACTCTTCCTGTATCTTACACAGTGAACAAAACTAGTATTATACAATCTAAAAGTGTTATTATTATGAAAATGATTATACATAGTTTTTCTTGGTTGTGGCAAATACAACAAACTTCTTTTTCAAATTTCTCAAAGTGGAGCTTTGTTTAGGAGACACAATCTCTGTTCAGCACATTAAATCAATAATCAGAAATACGTTTTTATTACCCTGAGATGAATTGTACAAGGGTGTATTCATAAAATATCCAACAGAACCTGCCAGCCTAAGGCAAACAGAAACTTAAGCAACACTTATCACTTATCTACAACTCAGGTAAGCATACATACAGCAACTTTACAAATGTACCTCATTGAGGCAGTAGGTTATTCCAGCATTACAAAGTAAACATGCATGCATGTACATGCACACAGACACATAATCTTTCAGAGAACAAAGACTGTCATAGTGATACATGGGTGTTTCCTGAAAAGTTTAAAACACAGCAATGCACTTTTGATGTTTGATTAAGATAAAGCTCTGCCACCATGAAACGGGAAAGATATTGTAATGTCAGTTTTTATTATATCTCAGCAGAGCAGGAAGGAAAATATGTTTTTGCATTTGAAGGGGATATTATGGGGAGTTCAATCATCACTTACTTAATTTTACTTAAAACTGCTTCTTTAAGCTTTCTGCATTGCATATATTATCGTTTTAATTTAAATGTATAGATGTCCTTCAGCATATGTATGGGGATATTCAGGGACAGGTCATTGTCTAAGGGTCATCACTAAGGGTATTTAAATGTATGCAAACTAAGGGGCAGCTGTGGCTCAGGAGGTAGAGCGGGTTGTCTGTTATTCAGAAGGTTAGTGGGTCAATCCCTGACTCTTTGAGCTGCGTGTCAAAGCGTCCTTGAACCCCAAATTGCTCCTGATGCTGTAAATGTATGCGAATGAATTTGTTTTGGTTCTGTGAATGTGGCCAGTAGTGTAAATTAGAAAGGTAACACACACACGTTTTTACATCTGTACTTATAATTACCCTTAGACCTAATTACACCATAAACCTAATTATTTACAACGCTTTGAGGAACGCTTTGGACTAGATTTTCCAAAAATAAAAAAATCTTCATAATTGATTTTAAAACCTGCTCCTCACACAGGTAGAAGAGCAAGGGCACACACACACACACATACATACAGTAAACACACACAGAAGCTTATATGTAAATGAGGACACATGTTCTAGATCTCCTTAAAATAATCTGTTTATTCTGTATTGAAACACAGGGTTCAGTCAGAGGATACTCAGTCAGGTGGAAAGTAGTGATCTCCATTCAGCTCCATACCATCAACTGCCTCTGTGTGGACCACAGTAGCAAATAAAGACTTCATAGTCGTCAGCAAACAAAATATTGCTCTGCCTCTGACAAAGTGAGTCATAACATTAAATACATGATGGAGAGTTTGTGAGTTTGTGAGTTTGTATGTGATCTGTAAGAGGCATAGTGAGACAGAACTGTCTGAGATCAAAGCATCACACATGACTTTCTTGATTGAGAAAAATAACCGATATGCTGGATTCCTAAAAATATCTATCATAAAAACCTAACTAGCAAAAACAAAAGCTAATTTTCTCTTCTGACTGCAAACTGGGCATTTACTTCAGTGTGAGACCAAAATCTCTTCACCATTGTGGATTTCACAAACAGGACACAGGACATGTTCATGTCCGACAAAGTAGCATGATCGTTTAAATTCTTCAAAGCCCTAAAGAAAAATAAATATATGTATCTATGATTTATGTAAAATATGTATTTTCATCAAAAGGCCTCTACGCAGCCTAGACGTGACTCAGTTATACAGATGACACATTGGCCAAAATGTATACATTAAATACATTCATTACTTATTTTAATGCACTGACAAAAACTTATTTGTGCATAAAGTGTAAAACAGACTGTTGGCCAGAAATACAGACGGGCTAAAACGGTCGTCTTCAGAAGATTTGATCTGCATATAAATAACAAATAAATAACCTTGGCATCCTCCTATACTGTATGTGTGTATATAATCACTATCTTATATGGCACAGAGACACCAGTGGAGATAAGGGACCACATACATCCAGGGATGCGTTGTAAGACTTCAGAGTGCAAACTGGGTTTGTCTATACAGCTGATTCACACTGGTATATGTCACGTACGCAGATGATACTCATACGTTTATTATCTTGGCAAGTCAGTCCAACAAGAGTTTCCACTCATGCTAGCTTGTTTGAAGATGACTTTCTAAGTCTTGAGAGAGGAAGAAAAGGAGTGAGAGGGGGCCTAAAATGTTCACTGCTCCCTCAAGGACCTCAGAGATCCGACTGTGAGCTGCTAAATCATTTCCTTTCAAAACGCGCTTTCACTGAAACACCAGAAATCAGAAATGAAATATCAAATGGCAGCAGCCACATACCAAAAAATCCCCAACCTTACAAACAATATAAATAAAACATACCCACTCTAATCTCAAATAAAAATGTTCAAGCTAAAAATCTAAACTATCTGATTGCTAAAGCAGTGACATTGCTATAGGCACTATAACGTTTACAGCAGTAGCGACTGAAAGAGCCCGTTGTGTATAAACGCATTGATATGCAAGGTAATCTATGTATATTTTACACAAAAAAGGCCATGTAGTGTATTCATAGTGGAATAAGAAGGCCCCTGGCTTCTCTTTATGCCTCTCTGATATTATTTCTCTGCTTTTCTCAAATCTATTCCATCAACATTCTGCTGCAGGTGGTACACTAGTGCAGTCAAAGTGTGCATAGCTTCAAAAGAGGAGAGAAATGTGCAGACAAAGGACAACACTAAGACATAAACGTGTTCTATCTCTAAATTTCTAATCCTTCCTCTCTCTGAATTTCTCCTCCTCTCTCCTCTCCTCTCTTTCTCCTTCAGACGCACATTCACGATGCAGGACATTATCCGAGCTGATCCTCATACTGCTTCCTGAAGCAGTCTCCAGCTGGGAAGAAGTCCCAGCATCGCTCCTGGTACTGCTTCCACACATACGACTCCTGAAACCCAGAGCAAAATATGTTACAACATAAGGCAGAACTGTATAAAAAAAAAGGATGATTTTTGAAATTTATGAAGACAAAAACAACCAAGGAGGGCTTCACCTTTATTTTACGTACTTTCCTTTTATATATAAGGTATATATGTTTACTGACCTGTCCTGTGTGTTCTGTTTCATCTTTATTGATGAGATACATCAGGAAGAACCTTAAAGAGAAAAGGGAAATGCAAATACAGAAATATTATGCAACATAACAGTATTCATGAGGACCAGATGGTTAAATAATCTATTTAAGAACTGAACATTCTGCAAATATCTGTCACACTGTTTTCCTCCTTAAGTCCAATTACTAAATAATGAAGGGTTTCAAGGCTATCTGTAACTTTGGATAATTACTCTAAACATAAAAATTGAACAGATACTGAATTGACACATCTGCACTAGCTTACATGTAGTTGGCTAAGTTATGTTCTTCCAAGGTGTGCGTCTCGAAGCCATGTGGCGTTGTGTCAAAGTAGTCGCTTCCTATTCCGCAGATGAAACATTTTGTCTGGAGGGAGAAAGGACAGTTTAGATTAAACACGATCTTACCTTGTAACTGAAGGAGAATTGAAGGTGGATTAGGAAAAGTGACCAGTTAAATCCCTCTGAAACTCATTATCTTACCTCCATGTCCTCTCTGACCTGCTCCTGCTGGTCTCTCAGCTCTCCAAAGGCATCAATGATCAGACCTGACAGACAGACAGCATTTCTTACAAGTTTGAAGATCAGAGTTATTCTCAACAAAGTTTTTGTTTGTTTAGGGAGGTGAGAATGTTTGCTTTTGGACAGATTCCCCCCCCCTCCGCAGCCCAGGTCAGGTTATTCAAACTTTCAAAGCTCTAGGTCACCCCCTGTGCCCCCCCCGCCGACGCGCGCGCCCTCACTAAACGTATTTTCTGACCTTTAAAACACTTTGCTCTATTCCCTATACGTCCCTGTTTTACTCAGTTTAATCCTTGTTCACTCGCTTTCATAGCTTCACATCATAATACAAAGACAGAAAAATGGTATAACATTTTGTCGCTATAAGGTCTCAGTGTTCAGCTTGCCTCCATCCAAAACTGTTTTTATAAATTAACTGCAGAATGAGTCTGTGGGTTCTTCGCTACAATTACAATTACTATTTCACATTACTGGTGCAATCTGCATCC